ACTGCCAGTAGTCGACAGTCAGCACAATTCGCCTGCAATACTGCATTTCTAATCACTGTGCCCCCACAGCTCTTAAGATTGAAGAAGATTGAAATAAGACTTCAAGTAACATCAATCTAAGTTGCTGTGTTTTAGTGGCTGAATGAGATGAACCATAAAATGGCTCTGTTTGACTACCAAGTACAAATGCATGGAAAAGTTTCAGAGTAATTTCATTTTAGATTGCAGACTATCAACTCAGATCAACTGTCTTGAACAGAAGACATTCTAAAAGCAAATGAGACTGAACTAGCCAGTTTTACATGAAGAAGAGGCTGCAAAATACACTGAGGGCAATTCAAGCATATCGAAGTTTTACAGAAACAGAAGGGATCAAATACAGTGAAACATATGGCACAAACAGGAAATGATATCTGAGCCACGAATGCAGGTGCTAGCAACAGTTCCAACAAATTCAACAGCTGTGTTACATTGTGGGTCGACTACATATTAGGACTGGATGTGTTTTGCAAATATTTAGGAAAAGTGCCTTGGACCTCACATGTTCTTCTAATTAATTATTAAAGCAGCACCCCCTTACTAAATCCTTATGGTAGTGTATCTTCTTTGAGGCTGACTCAAGATCTGAAGTTCTATCAAATCATTTTTGAAGCATGTGCAGTCCTCCCAATCTTATGGAAGTGGGATTCATGAACATTTCTTCACTTAGCGAGCACAAACATCTTTACGTTTTCAATTAAATGTCTAATATTAGTATTCTCTTTGATAACCTACTCAGTCTGGAGATGTGCCAACGTGTTGACTTCAGGATTCTTAATTCCTAGACAGCCTAGCCAAAAAAAAAAAAGCTGAAGCATATGGGGACTGAAATCAAACTCATTTGGGGAAGGGCACTCAATGAATCCATTTTTCCTTTAGTTATTATTATTATTAAAACACACTTGACGCTGCAGTTCTATATACACTCACACTGAGTAATGTCCATAGGACTTCTGCCTATAAAGTGGTAGCTCACTTTGAATTTTTCTTCCTGTTTAATCTTAATATTTTCAAGTTTATTTCAGTAATTACCTACTGGCTTCAAAACAGGCCAAGCACATAAATACCACACATTACCTAAAACACTAAATATTTTAATGTTTGTTTTTTAAGGTTTATTTCTGCCAAGGTTTTATTGCTCTTGGCCCAGCATCACTAGGAGCCCCATGTAATGTTGACAAGTCAGGGCCAAAATTTGCCCCTAGGAGAAAGTGTGCATTGCTCAACAAAGAGATCCAGTGTCTTTTCATTTCCTATAATATATGGCACTTCCTGGAAGGACTAAGCAGAACCCTTTTCAATATCAACTGCAGAATTATTTTTAATACAATGCAATACAACAGCAGAGTTGGAAGGGACCTTGGAGGTCTTCTAGTCCAACCCCCTGCCTAGGCAGGAAACCCTATACAGTTTCAGACAGATGGCTATCCAACATTTTCTTAAAGACTTCCAGTGTTGGGGCATTCACAACTTCTGGAGGCAAGTTGTTTCACTGATTAATTGTTCTAACTGTCAGGAAATTTCTCCTCAGTTCTAAGTTGCTTCTCTCCTTGATTAGTTTCCACCCATTGCTTCTTGTTCTACCCTCAGGTGCCTTGGAGAATAGTTTGACTCCCTCTTCTTTGTGGCAACCCCTGAGATATTGGAACACTATCATGTCTCCCCTAGTCCTTCTTTCTTTTAAATCAGGATGATTGAGATTTAGCTATAAAAAAATAAGGTGGGCAGAAAGAAGATCCAGTTATACTGAACTAAAGACGTTTTGTAGAGTAGGCAGGGACAGTGAATGCTACCCTCCTGCCTACCGATCCACAAATTCTGTAAAGAGGTTTGTCAATTAAAATGCACTGTGCCTGTATGAAAATGCATAGACTCATGAAAATTATAAACAAGCATGGTTATTTCTGTGAGATGAGCAACCATGACATTGGTTTCCTCATCTGGTCTACCTTGAAGGGGGCTGATAAAGATTGCTTGCATTCCTCATAATCTCACAGAATCCCAAATGTGTCCTTGGCTTTAAAAAGTTCTGCTAATATTTATGCCTCCCAAAAATGTCCTCTTAGCACTCAGAAGGGATAGCCCTACAATTTGGCTAAGAAAAGGACAAAGATTTAAAAGAGGATGGGGGCTTTTCCCCTGGAAACATCCAAGGTTCAGCCTCTACTGGTACTCCATTATTTAGAAATCAGTTGCTAACTTTTCCTTCCCCTGAGCCAGCAGGCCTCTGGGTAGTCTACGTATCAATGAAGCCGTCAGATGGAATCAGCGCTTCCAATCAATCGGTCTAAAATAAAAAATGTTCCAAAAGGAATGCAATGGAAGCTGAAAATACCTCCTGATGCTGGTTGACAAAAGGCACTGTGTCCAGCTGGGCTGATTCAATGCCATTTGTCAGCAGGACAGAGAAGAAAAGACACCACAGGTGGTGAAGGGGAAGTCAGAGAGGCAGAAAAATCTCTGCAGACTTGCACATTGTCTCTTGTCACTTACAAGCACAAAGGGTAGGTTGTGTCACTGCAGAGTGGCAGCAGTGATATTAGTCCCAGGTGTGGTGGATGCATGAGAAAGAGAGAGAAAGAGACAGACAGGCAAGAGTATTGCTGAAAGAACAATGAAGAGCAACTCAGGTTTTTAAAGCTTAAAACTTTTTTCTTTCACGGATGCTCCAAAGCTGCAATATCTTTTAAAGTGACAAATAATACTTTCCATTCAAGAATGCAGAGCCATTGATCTAAAACAGTTCACTATTCCATCTCTTCATTCAATTAAACTATAGTCACACGTTCTTAAACTTCTGAATAAATAGCAGATGGGGAAGTTTATCTAACATACTGCAGGACACATATAGCATATTACAGTGTGACATATTGTATGAATCAGACTTTTTTTTTTAAAAAAAACCTGGTTTTAACTATTACATTTGTCTATGCAATAATGCAGTTTGGGGAAAATGCTATTGAAAGGAATGTGTGTATTTAATATATTTTTAAAAAATCTGCATCATAGCAGGCCATTTTAGGGAACATTGTGTGACAGCAAAAGCCAGAGCAATGAACTTCAGACATCACCAGTGGGTGCAGAAATCAATTTAAAAAAATACAGTCCAAGACTGGCAATAAAATTATTTCATAAATATTAAGCATGCAATTTAGGTAATCTTTGCATGGATGTTTAGGGCTAAAATTTTAAGTACACGATACTTTAAGTAAAGCCAAGATACTTTAAACTAGTATGGTGGCCATAGAAATCTGCTGAATTTGAAAATCACACAGGTTGAAATTGCCAAAGCACTGCTTTAAAGTGTTCTCACTTCCTGGTGTGTTATTATATTTGTCTTTCATAAACCTTATTTTTAGGTGCTAAGTAATAAATCAACACTTTAATTATTTGAGTTTGTCTTCTTTTTCAATATTTTCTATAATAAATAGTTGAATAAACTTTTTTTCAACAATGATTTTAAAAAACCTGCACAATTGAATGTAAATATGTCACCTAGGATTGCATTACAGTGACTGGTGGAAAAACGGGATATAAATGAAACAAAAAAGGAATTAATTGTAAATTTGATAATGGCAGCTAGATTAGTGATGGCTAAATATTGGGGATGGAATTCATTATACCACTCATTATATTTCTCATTTCAAAGAAATATAACAGAAATATAATAAAATTTGGAGTATGGCAACAAATAATAAATTAACAACAGAAATAAAATTTTAAAAAGGAATGATTAAAGCAAATAATTATAATGAAATATGGGGAGATTTTATAAAATCAGTGTTGGTGGAAGGCAAAGGGAATAAACCTACTCAAGAATATATCTTGTTTTGGAGGGGATAAGGGCACAATTGGAATATATTGTATAATGTTTAGTTGCTATAGACGAATAAATATAAGGGTTTAAAAAAAGGTCTGGGGGGTGTTGCACTGTAATATTTGTTTTTTTTCCTTTTTCTTTCTTTTTTTGTATTTAATATGTTTGTATTATTTGTATGTCTTAGTCACCACTGGATAGCAACTTATGCCTTTTAACATATATATTTTTTTGCTTTTTGAAGATAAGAGGTAGCTCTTGTTCTTACTGCAATTCTTTATGGGATCACTTGACTACACCTGAAGCAGCTTTTTTCATAAAGCAGAACCAAATGTCTTCAAACTTGGCTTGAAAACATTGTACCATACGTCGAAAGTATCACCAATACAGAGAAAACAGAATTCTTGCAAATAATTGAATAATATTCTAGGATTGGCCTAATGTATATTTTGTAAGCCACATTGTAAACTAATCTTCCTTAACCTCCATTTTCACATATAATTTAAAGGGAATTCTATCTGGAGGCACCAATGTAGATGAGCATTCTGAAAGTTGTAGAGTCACACATTTAAAGTACCAGGTTGGGAAAATGTTAAGAAGCAGTTTGAGATAGACCGGACTTTTCAATTGGATTCATTGTATTTTCAGTGCCAAGGCAATGTTTGAGAGATTTTGTTTCCTATGTGCCAAGATAACTTACTTTCATTGAATGGCAAAATGGGCACTTTTTCTATTTTATACTTCAAGTCACAAAATGTCTTGGGACAATACGTGACTGAATATGAAAAGCGTAGGTAGGGCAACTGTTCCTTTCTATCTACATTTGAAATGTACTGTTTTCCTTTTTAATAACGATAATTTACAATCAATGTGTAGAAGCCCTTCATGATTGTATGAAATGCAACACTTTTTTCCAAAAAAAAAAAAAAAAGGCAAGGCTATTATTCCTGCTAACAAAAGCATAAATGGCTCAAATAATTGTGATTCTCCTGTTAGAAAACAGCTTGAGATGTCAGGTTGTCTACTATCACTTAGACATGTAAAACCAACAGAAAACGGTTTCAACAAAAGAGCTTTCTGTTCTATAGGAACACACCTGAAAGAAGAGGGGAAGCGTGATTCTCTTTAAACAATAGGCTCCTACCTATTGATAGAAAATGGTGCAATACTCCTGATAAGAGAAGCTTTTGCGCCCAGTTTAGCAGCTTCCACTGCTCCACGAAGTCGGTAGAGCACTGTTTTACCATAATTGGTGTAACGCTGGTTGTAAACAATAATCTTTCCACGGGCTTCATGGGCTTTCTTGTGTAGTTCATCAAAAGAACTTACCACCAACACTTCTGCTGTAATACCTGGAAATGAAAAATCAGCTCTTAGAAATACAGGCCCAGTTTTATTTTATTTATTTATTTATTAGCTTTATATGCTGCCCATCTTACCCAGCAACTGTGGGCAGCTTACAAACAAAAATAATAGCAATAGCAGTTAGACTTATTTACCACTTCATAGGGCTTTCAGCCCTCTCTAAGCGGTTTACAGAGTCAGCATATTGCCCCCACAGTCTGGGTTCCCTCATTTCACCCACCTCGGAAGGATGGAAGGCTGAGTCAACCCTGAGCTGGTGAGATTTGAACAGCCAAACTGCAGAACTGCAGTCAGCTGAAGTAGCCTGCAGTGCTGCATTTAACCACTGCGCCACCTCAGCTCCTTATTTACAATAAGAAGATGTAAAGATCAAAGTGGAGAGGTGGCATGGGGTGAAATCTTCTTATCCCATCAACCATCTCCAGTAAGGAGATGTTAGCAACATTTCAGGAGAAAACAGCCAAATAACTCTAGAAATGTCTTTAATTACTTTAAAATGGATTAGAAGCCTCCAAGTCAGAATATGAGGAGGAGGAAATGACAAACCACTTCAAAACGTTGCTAAGAAAACTGCAAGGACTTGTCCAAGCAATTGCCAGAAATTCACCTATCAGTAGTTTGCCATTGATTCCTTCTTAGGGCAGAGAGAGAGAGAGTGACTGGCTCAGAATTCCCCAGCAGTGTGTCATTTTATAGCCTCAGCCTTAACCACACAATGTGGTGTGGTGGCTCATATTCTGACTTGGAGACTTCTAATCCTTTTAGACACCTTTTTTTTTAGATTAGCAATGCAGCATGTAGCATTTCCTATAACACTCTATGGAAGCAAAAGTTGGACTTTAAAGTAGAAGCGCTGATGCTTTTGAACTTTATATATTATATTTTTATTATTACTTTTGAAGTTTGGTGTAGAAGGTTTTTGAGAATAGTGTGGACAACCAAGAAAATAAACTGATTGGATCATTGAACAAATCAACTCACTCGAGGAGCATATTAATCTACTTTGGACAATGTGCAAAGACCTAGCTCTCTGGAAAAGGTTCTAATGTTGGGAAAGGTGAAAAGAAAGAGAAGAAGAAGATGACTAGCAGAAACATGGGTGGACTCAGTTACAGTGGCAATGAATGTACTGTTGGGGGACTTGAAAGAACAGATTAGGGATGGATTGTAATGGAGAAGTTCTATCTATGCGGTCCCTAGGTGCCAAAAATGACTTGATGGTACATAGTCAATCAATGAATCAAAGGTAACACAATCACTGTCTATAACAAAATACATCTCCTTATTCTCAAGCTAAAGAAACAGTAGAGAAGGGATTCAGATTTCTAACAGAGGCCAGATAATTCCTATCTTCCCATGTGCGTGTGTGGTATACAACAGTAATGTGCATCGCTATAGGTATGCAAAAAAATGCTCTAGGATGAAACAATACATATCACATGATTATATTTAATTTAATTATTTGAACAAATCTTTCTACTGTTCAAATGTAAAAATAACTTATTGTAAAAATTAACAATGAATATACAGTCACATTTTACACACATACTGTATGTAAAAGAGTGATTACGGTACCTGAGCCATAGTGGCCGAGTGGTTAGAGTGCAGTACTGCAGGCTACTTCTGCTGACTGCCAGCTTCCTGCAATTTGGCAGTTTAAATCCCACCAGGCTCAAGGTTGACTCAGCCTTCCATCCTTCTGATGGAAAATGAGGATCCAAAATGTTGGGGGCAATATGCGGACTCTGTAAACTGCTTAGAGAGGGCTGTAAAGCACTGTAAAGCAGTATCTATGTCTAAGGGCTATTGCTAGTGGTACATGAAGGGTGCTTGGATAAGGAGAACAAAATAAGGGGAATAATTATTTTCCACTTCTGAAGGCTGCTAGTTATTTTGCTAGAGTGGTGTTGAAAGTTTACAAGCAACATATTGTGATAAACAATTCAAAAACAATTCATACTAGCAATGATGTTATGACGTCTGCAAGAAAGATGTCTATGGAGATTCTCAGTCATCCAGGTCATGGTTGTCCCAAAGGTACTTTTTTCAAGAGCCAACTGGACTTTCTGATTTTTCTTTGAAGTGAAACGTCTTCAAAAGAAAAAACCAGGAAGTCCAGTTGCCTCTTGAAAAATGCATCTTTGGGACTGCAAGAAAACAACCAAACTCAGAGAGCATCAAGGACTCCATATCAAATTACCCATCCCCTAATCCATTTTCATCTCTCTTCCCCATCATGTACAGTTTGGCCTCAAGAACCATTGTCAAGAATTACGTCAGAAAGAAATAGTGGGTGAAAAGGTGCAGTCAAAGTTTTAGATTAAAAATATACTGGTAATATGTAAACCAAAAAGTATCTGGTATGAATTCTGTTTTGCCCAGGTGCTTGGAAAAAAAATTAGGACTGTTCCAGGACTTGCAAAATGTCTGCAAGTGGCTTCATACAGTCCATGAACTTCTTTGCCCCTGATCCAGGAGAACAAAAATTAATCAAGTTATAGGAAATGAGGTCTTGACTTTTGCATCCAGAAACAGGTAAGGAAGGTGTGAAAAGTCTAATGGGCTCACTTTCCTGGCTACTCAATCTACTCTTTTTTTTTTTTGAATGCAAGATGTGCCCTATTTGCGTACTCAGGTCAAAATCTACCGCTGCTATTGTTGGCATGTAAGTGAAGTAAACTGATAGGCTTCAGCCACTCTTAATGAGTAAGAGTTTCGGCTGCATGCCTCAAAAACATCTTGGTGACAGGAGCATGCAAAGCTGGAATTAGGCCAGTGGAGAGGAAGCCAGAGATCTGGAAATTTTCATTTTCCACTAGAAAAATCAAGGTCTCTGCAGGCTGGCACTGCAATCTATGTGACATATCAGCTTTCAAAACTAATGAGTAGAATTGACATCAGGTAATTCATCCCAGCTCTCCATTTATATCCGCGCCAAGTGATAAAACATAATAACATGGGTTCATGATTGCTCATCAAGGAAGAAAGAATAGTAGCAATTCTTGACAGCTCCTTGTAATAATGAAAGATGCTTCCTGCCAATAAGGTCTCAATATCCTGGGTCCCTTTCACAGCTTATGTAACGAACTTCTTCAACCGGCGTCTTCCAGAGCTGTGGGGTTTGCAGAGCACAGAATTCCCCGTCAACATAGCAGAAGTAACAAAAATAATAGAGCTTCTGCTCTGCAGCTGACCACCCCTAGCAACCCCAGATGACAAGGATTCTTGTCCAAAACTTTGAGAAGCTACTACAGGTCACTGCAAACAATATTGAGCTACATGAAACAGCTTCCTGTGAGTCACATTTCCAATATCTTTGAAGGGCAATAGAGCTACTCTAAAAATTATTCCAAATTTGGTTTTCCAACTGTGTGCCTAGTTTCTAATGAAGAAAACATGTGTTCTAAATACACATACAATAGAGAAAGAAATTAAATAACAGTGATGTGAGTCAGCCAATGATTCATATGATTTTAATGGATGTAGGACTGAAAGCATTCTCCATGCAGCTACTAATGATGGATCATAGCAACACTTTGGAATTGTTGCTGTTGAACTGTCCACAGTTGCTTCCCCGGTTGAGACATACTCATGGTGTTGCTGGGGAGGCTCAGGATCAGGGTTCAACATAAAGCTAGATCAATTTTGCTTTTTCAATTTTTATTCATTTATAAAATGAATCTCTGCTAAGTCCATCAACTTTTGCAGTCATTCATCCATTGTGGGAATTGAAATGTTCTTCCTTTTTTGTGCATAAAGTAGTTTTGCTTTGTGCACAAAATATATATAACATCAAAGTTACAATCCCCCCCCCCCAAGTCTTTTCCCATTAAACCCCAAAGAAAACTTTCTGGTTTTATTTTTATATTTACTTTCAGAATTTGTTGTGTTAGAATGTGAATCCTACTCCAATATTTCTTTGCTTTATCATATGTTCACCATAAATGATAAAAGCCCCCTTCTTTACATTTCCAGCATTCATTTGAAATATCATTATACATTCTTGATAACTTTTCTGGTGTTAAATACCAATGATACACCATCTTATAGAAATTTTCTTTAAAATTGTGATTTGATGTAAATTTTAAATCTTTTGTCCACATATCCTCCCATTGTTCAAGCTTTACATTATATCCAAAGTTTCCCAATTCTATTTCAATAATGTTTTATACTGGATCAATTCTGGATTCGATCGGGATGTTTGGAAGATAGGGTCCCAAGGAGAAAAGAGAAGTTAACCATCATGAAGAACAATGTTCAAGTGTGATCAGAAGAAATACATACAGACTTTAAAAAGGTTTGTAATAAAAATGCAGGGGGTATCAATCTTTCTTAGGCTTTAAGCTATTGATTTAGCTGCCTCTTAGAAGGCTTAAGTTAGGCATTCTTCTATCCTCAACTTGCACATTATAAAAAACGAGTAGGGACTTTTCTGTAACTTTTTACTGGGAAGAGTGAACTGGAAAATTTAATAGAATATTACTTAGCAGAACCATCCCTCCTATTATGCAGGGGAAATGGAGGTGGGCTGGGGAATAACTGTGAATAGTGCCACCACTATCCATGTGCTTCAGCAGTGGAAAATGTAGTCTCAACTTCAGCATTGAAGAAAGTTTCAACAGCCAGCCCAGACAGCCAGATATACATGGGAAGGGAAATCTTGTTTTTTGCCGCAGGAAGCAACCATCTTGGGTTTTTCATACTTCAGGGGTGCACAAGATGCAGTCCAAACAGCTCCATCTCCCTGAAATCTTTTTTATGATCATCCAGAGCTGGGGCCCAAAATATGACATTTTATGATTTTAAGGGTTCTTAAATCAGTGTTCCCCAACTTTTCCAGTTTTGCGGAGCAGCAGGAAGCAGGAGAGGTGATGGTTCCATGAGAGCTAGTGTGTGCAGCTCCATTTGTGCAGGCATCGGCCACACACGCCTGCTCCTCGCACAAATGGAGCTGTGCACATGTGCAAAGCTCACCTGCCACTTCCACGGCCAGGTTGCGAATGGGCCACAGTCCAATACTGGGGCTTGGGAACTCCTGCCTTAAATCATACAGGGCTTCAACTCTTACAATTCCCTAACAAGCATAAAGCTACTGAGGTTGAGAACCATTAAATAAAAAATAGGTCATATTCCAAATAAAAAGTAATACTAAGAGTGGCAACTGTTAAAAAGCAGGCAGTCATTACCTTCCGGAGGGGTTGCAACGCTCCCACCAAGCCCCAACATGGCAATGGTATGATTGTATGGTTCAACCATCATTGCATTCTCTTCACCCCTTTCCCAGTGGGGTATTTTTACTGGCTCCAGGTGGACATTTCCTAAGCCATCTTTCCTCAAAGCGTTCTCCATGTACTGGATAGCCTGTTCTAGATTTCTAGAACCACTCAATCGTGGTCCAAAAGTGTCCACAAACAGCGCAAGCCTTTCGTAAGATCTGTTCTGGGCCTTGCCATAAACCGCAAGTTTGATAATCTTCTCAGCAACGTCCGAATAATTGGCTATTTCTCTTGCAATATCCTCAAATGTTCTTTGGTGGCCGTAACTGGTGTTGCTTAATAAACAAGTCATGCTTTCAGAAAATAGGCAGATGGAGATCATTAAAAACAGAAGCTTCATTTTTCTCTATTATTTGTGAACCTGTAGGAGGAAAAAGACAATATTACATTACAAATCGGCTCAGCAAGTTTTAAGTTATGAAGCGTGACAGCCTGAAAACTAATCCAGTTAAGTAATGTCATATGAAAGTGCAGTGACAGAAATTAAGAAGCCAGGTTTTGTGATGTGAGGAGAGGGGAGAACACAGAATCTCTGCAGCCATTGTCTACTACTTAAAGCGCAGGCAGAAGCCTACTTTTTGAAACCGAGAACTAGAATTTCCAGGGAAAGCAGTACATGAATGCATTGCTTTTACTGTTGTCCCTTTTCTATGAGGTACAGTTTGGCAACATCAACCCAGTGGTGGGATTCAATTTTTTTTTACTGCCGATTCTGTGGGCGTGGCTTTGTGGGTGTGGTGTAGCTTGATGGGCATGGCTTGGAGGGCGTGGCAGGGGAAGGATACTGTAAAATCCCCATTTCCTCCTGATCAGCTGGGACTCGGGAGGCAGAGAATAGATGAGGTCAGAGCCAGTCAGAGGTGGTATTTACCGGTTCTCCGAACTACTCTAAATTTCCGCTACCAGATATCCAGAACTGGTCAGAACCTGCTGAATACCACTTCTGCATCAACGCTCCCAATCTGGTGCTCTTTAGTTGTGTTGTACTATAATTTCCCATCCCCAATACATTTAGAGCAGTATTTCTCAAGCTTGGGCACTTTCAGATATTTGGAATTCAGAATCCTGATAGTTAAAAGTCCTCACATCTGAAAGTGGCCAAGGCTTAGAAACATTGTTCTACAGGGATGCTATAGAAACAGGTTAAATCTTGTCTCCAATCTTTTAGACAGCATTTAGCTCATGCTTTAGTTTGGTATTTTGTACTTTCTTAGGCTTTAAAACATAATGTGTTCGGACATTTTTAAAATAAAACTGAAGCAGGATTTTTTTTTTAATAATGTTTTTAAAAGAAGTTTGTTTTTCTAACAGAAACCATCTTAAAAATTAAGATGCAGAATGGAAATCAAATATTTATTGTTACATATAAAAGAGATCAGAACTGTTAGTCATTATTTTAATATTAGTCAGACTTCAAATGAATTGTCAAGATAGTCCTTGACTTATGACCAGTCACTTAAGAGACTTGATTTGAACTTATGAGGGACCTCCCTCAATGTACTTATTTCCCTGTTCCAAAGTTCTGAGAGATGGACTAATCCTGTGATCATGTATTTCAGGTAGCCTGCATTTATGGCTGTTTGCAGCATCCTGCAATCAGATGACCACAATGTATGATGTTTTTGTTGAAAATCAGTTGCTTCTGGTTTTTGGCAAAAATGTCCCATAGCAAACAATGGGGTTATCTAAGGATTGCAGCTGTTGCTTGATGAGTCCAGAATTTGCTTTATAACTGACAAAAAGTCATAAAATCAGGCTGCTCATGTGGTAACCTGGTTTATGACAATTACAATTTATAACCTTGCTGAGCAGGCTCCAGTCCTTGTGTAAGTCGAGGACTACTTGTTCACTTATAGGGGGAAATAAATCTGTAGATGTATCTAAATTTATATTTAAATTTGTATTTAAGAGGTGTTTCAACAATAGGATCTGACATTAAAACTCAATTTTTAGCAAAAACTAAGCAGTCCTTAGTTTCTTAGAGTCTCAAAAACTCTTATTAAAAGCTAATTATAATCATCATAAAAATAAAGTAGGCTTATCTTTAAAGAACTAATCCCAGATGCAAAATTGAATTTTGTTCTACAAAGAATGTTGTTCAAGTTATTCCATGAAGAGGTGGACTGCTAATTAGTTCATTTTTAAAAGTGCTTTGAAATGGCTGTTTCGATTTTCTTTTTTCTTTCTTTTTTTCTTTTTTTAAACTCTCCTTCATGTTTTGAGATACGTTTCATGGACTACAGGGGACATTCTGCTGGGAATATCTCTAACTCCAAAGCAATTTCTGTTGACACAAGTAATAACACAGGAAATTTTGTCATCGCAATTGGATGAGCCTTGAATCTAGAACTGAAGCAAGGTAATTCAAATACCAAGTTAAATTTAGACACCCCATACAGCTTCAGTCTGGAGATGGAACTCTATAAGTTTCTGATCACAACTTGTATATCTAGAAGGAATAACTAATACCCTAAAAGATAGGTTCAACTTGAACACTGGGCCCTACTAACAAAATGAAATTCAATGTAGAGAAAAGTAAAGTATTACACTTAGGTAAGAAAAATCAAAAGTACATATATAAACTGGGTGAAACCAGGCTTAATAGTAGTGACTATGAAGGGGATCTTGGAGTCTTAGTGATCAACTAACTAAATATGAGGCAGCAGTGTGCAGTGGCAGCCAAAAAAGCCAATGCAATCCTAAATTGCATTAACAGAGGGATGCAATCAAGATCAAGTGAGGTACTAATACCACTCTATAAAGCCTTAGTAAGACCGCACCAGTGGTGGGTTTTAAAATTTTTTAGAACCTCTTCT